TTGAACAAATCACTTAACTTCTCTAGGACTAATTTCTTCTGTTTGGGGAAAAAAAAAAAGTGTGTACATGAATGGGTTGGGGGTGGGGTGGTTAGACCAAAAAAGAAGTGATCATTGTAAGTCTTTTTTCTCTGATTTATAAGAAGGCTAAACTGCAGGAAAGGCACAGAACTATTATGTAAGGAATAGGGAAAATATAAAGTTTAAAAAATGAGGACCGTAATAGTAACATCATTTTATACATCACTTTACAATTTAAAATGTGCTTTCTCATAAGCATCATTATGAGTTCTCAGAGCAAGCATGTGGGCAGAAAAAACAGACATTCTTTAACATCATTTTACAGTGGAGCAACTGAGGCTCAGGAAGGTTAAGGACTGGTATCTGACTGCTAACCAGAAGGTTGGTGGTTCAAACCTACCAGCCACTCCGCAGAAGCAAGACTGCACAATCTACTTCTGCAAAGATTTACCATCTTGGAAACCCAGTGGGGATCGATATGAGTTGGAATCAACTTGACAGCAGTGGGCCTGGTTGGTTTTGGAAAGACACAGAACCAGTGGTAGATTAAACAGCAGCAAAGTCAATATCCTTTCTCTATTAAGATGCTTTCCTCAAGTGTGACTAAGGTTTTGTAGGATATTTTTGTGGCTTTTTAAGTAGTAAATAAATGAAAAATTATAAATCTGAAATATATATTACATATATATAATTTTAATTCAAAATAAAATTCATTTAGAATTAAATTCACTATATAAAATGTTTCCTACAAAACTGAGCTTTGTTCCACTGCAACCAGTTAAGACTACTCATCCTTTCAGTCCACAGGTATCTCCCTTTATAGCTGACAAAACTACCATAGTTACAGTATTTTCAGACTGTGGCATACAGAATAACTGACTTTGACTCTAAATTCTGATATATCCATTAAACCATTAAACAAGATGCTTCAAGTTGCACACAATGGATACAATAAACAGCATAAAGGAAGTGGCAAAAGTAGTTAGGGAATTTTTATTTGGTTTTGTTTGTAACATCTAGAGAAATTAGAGAGCACATCTCTATGGTAGTGATAATAAAATAACTCTATTTTCTTTATTCTATTCTTTGCTCCAAAAGCCATAATCAGCCAGGGCTGACTAATTAACTGAAAGAGTAGTAAAAAAATCTTAGGAATATAATTTGCTGTTTATTGGTCTCAACCTATTACTTCTTTTCTTTATGTGCACTTTAACTTAACAGAATACCTTTCTGATTATATTCCAAAAATACTATGTATATGATCCTAGTACTTTTCTTTTAATGGGCAATTATTTTCCTACAGACTGGCTAAGAAATGCCAACAGAAAAGTTCAACATTTGTCCATAATCCTCATTCCTCTACATTTCTCTTCTCTCTCTACCCTCAAGTCATCTATGATTTCTTATAGTATATACACCACCACTCATGGACTCCTTCCTAACCTATACAAAAGGACAACACAACTACCTACTTTAAGGAGTCCCTGGATAATGCAAACACAGTTAATGTTTTTGGTTGCTAACTGAAAGGTTAGAGGTTTGATTCTACTCAGACGGCCTGGCAATGTACTTCTGAAAAGTCAGCCATTGAAAACCCTATGGTGTTCTGGCACACAAGAGGTTGCCATAAGTCAGAATCGACTCCATAACACCTGGTTTTTGTAACTACCTTGGCGTACAATGTTGTGAAGGATAATAAAATTTTTAATTGAAGACCCTCTCTGCAGTCATACATAATACCCATCCTCCACCATTTCTTAAGAGTTATACTTAAATGAGTACCATTCAGGCGGATAAAAATAAAATGGTTTTTTAAGCCACTACCTGAAATAAACACCATATGGTTCACCTAACAGAAAAGTTCAAATAGCTCAATCATAGAAGACAGTTCACACACAATGATGTAATTCACCCACTATAAACAAAATACACATACCAAATTTAGTTTCAGTAGTGTGCCAAGTAATCTACATTTTCTCATCTAATGTCCTACCTATATCTTTAAAAAAAATAATAATAACACTGCTATTGAGGCGATTCCAATTCATAGTGACCCTTAGGTTGCTTATATCTTTTAGGCCAGAGTAGAACCATAGGATTTCCAAGGCTGTAAATCTCTAAGGGAGCAGAGTGCCTCATCTCTCTGCCACAGAGTGGATGGTAGGTTCAAACTACTGACCTTTTGATTAGCAAAAAGCATGGGACTTTATATCTATCCAAATGACCTAAGTTTGAATCCCAGCTAGGTTAACGTAAATGCTGTCTTGGCCAAGTCTGAGGAGCTGAAATTTCCTCAAAAGTTAATACCACCTACTTCATAGGATTATTAAGATTATTATGATCATGTCTGTATTAAGCCTAATCAGGTGCCTAGCACACACCACAGTCACTCAATATATGGTAACTGGTGTTCTGATGACCTTCCCACTCTCCCAAAGCAAGCACCCTCGTCTCTGGGAATACAGGCAGTCCCTAGGTTAGGAATGTCTGAGTTCCATATAACCAGTAGTTAAAAACAAACCTTCACATTAAAAATTCTAGGTTCATAATAACAAATGGGTGCTACTTCGCAATGCACATCGAAACATTATTACTGTGTTATTATGTTAAAGATGTTTTAGGGTACCTGGATGTGTTTCTTTAATGTATTTATGCATGAAAAGGTCTACTATATATCATAAAAAGAGCTCTGATGGCACGGTGCATAAGACATTTGACTGCTAACCAGAGGCTGGTGGTTCAAACCCACCAGCCACTCCATGGAAGGAAGACTGGACAATCTACTTTCATAAAGATTTACTGCCTTGGAAACCCAATGGGGGTCGCTATGTGTCAGAATCGACTCAATGGCAGAAGGTTTGGCTTGGTTTTACTCATATACTAAGACAAATATTTGACTAATTGATGTTAGATATGAACAGTACGTAACTGTTCTAACTTACTTTGACTTAAAGACAGACGTAAGGGCTTAGGAACATAACTTATTCATTATCTAGGGACTACCTGTACTTAAATTACACAAGATAAAACAATTACCAAAAATTCATTCAGTCAAGCAGTACAATGAAAGGAATTCCCTAAGACCATCCACATTTTAAAACTGTGCTCCTAAAAGTGATGCAAATATAAGCTGCAATCTAAAGAGTTTTACAATTAATTCATCCTTCCTTCAGCTAGTCCCTTACCCCAGGGTGATCGTATAGTCAAGTGACTGAAACCTCAACTACTGTTCCCTTCAGCAATTCAGACTCTTGAAGAAGAAGACGGCTATTTCCTAACTGTTTCCCCATGAGAAGCAACAGCTCTAAAAGCCAGGCCCATTGCTGCCTGCTCTCTGAGAAGGACAGGTGGAAACAGGAAAATAGGAAAGGGAAGAAGACGCAGTTTAACTTGGAAAACTAACTTAACTAAGAAAGAAGATTGAGGAAGATTTAGGATATTATCTTCTTCATGGCTCCATCTTCAGCTTATGTGCCAACTACATACTTTGGTTAGTCTTCTCAGCCCTTTACTAATATTCCCACAAACAAGTTTCTTTTTTGCTCCAGGGTTCGGGATCATATTCAGATTTGATCCATTACAAAGTATTTTTTATACAAATGAAAATCTCATTAAAGACCATGAAGGCTGAGATTTAATCAGATCCATTTAATTCCAGTTTAACGTTCAACAACTGTTCATTTACGAATTTACATGATATTAAGACAAGTGCCTTCATTCAGCACTGAAGTGGCAATATGTAAATTAGACTTTACACTGTATTTTTCCCCACAAAATGTTCATGTTTAGCACTCTCCTCATCACCTATGCTGTCTTTTGGGCAGTATGGGAGTCACACACAGTGACTGTTAAAACAGATGGTCTGACAACGCACAAAAGAACTAGTGGGAACAGTCAGTGTGTGTATACAGAAACCTAAATACAATGATCTCGCAAGACAGTATCTTCCAAGACAATTATCTCAAAACTCACAAAATCAGGCAGAGATGGATGGTGGAGGAGGGTGGAGCAGGGTGGGGTGTGGGAGAGCTGGGTACAATGAAAAAATTAAGATCTGGGAAGTAAAATGATAAAGGGCTGCAAGACCGGGAGTATGAAGGAGGAAAGAGTCTAGTGTTTACCATGAGGGAGGGAGAAAGGAGGCCTAGATCAGGTAGGAACTGAAGAATTTGTTGGGGAATACTGCAATGGCAAAGAAAAACAAAAGATCTCACCAAATTGAGACACCAAAATGAGCCCTCCTGCTCCAATACCATGTATTTTTCCAGGAAGCTACAAAAAGCTTCTTTTCAACAGAGGGATTATATTAACAAAGCAAATAAAGGAAACCCATGCTAAAAATGTAAGCTACCTAGCCTGAAAAGAACGGAAATAGTTCTTTGCCTGTTCTGTAGTGGGTCTCAATCAAAGGGGCAAGGAAAATGATAGAGCCATAGAAGAGTGAGTGGAATGGGGTTGCTTACCTCTTTCTGAATATGAGCTTAACTAAACATACAGCCTTTGACTGTGTTAATCAGAATCTGACGAATAGTTCAAACATCATAGGGAATTAAAGAGCTTATGCAAACAAGGCAGATGCAGCACTAGTACTGTAACATCCATCCTTGGGTAGCTCCAACTCCAGTAAGGTTGATTTGTGACTGACAGTGCAATGGAAGAAAGAAAGAAAGAAGGAAAAAAAAAGTCTTATGTTTATGTTTAATTGGAAATCCATACCATCAGACGGTGAAGTGTGCAAGTATACAATAAATGGAAAAAAGTGGGCACAGAGAAAGGGGCTAACTAGAAGAACACTTACCTACAGATTATATCCTTTTCCTTTATGAAGTGCTGAGGATTAACCAACCACACAAAAAAGAAATTATTTTTACACCGAGAAATCACAAAAATGCTGGTCGTCACCCTAGACGGCTGCGTGGTGGGCATGGGGCCGCCCGCCCAGTAAGGGACGTCCACGCAAACCCTAAGCACACACTTACTTTCGTTCGGCCGTTGATTTTGTAGTTGCCCAGCTTCCCGTTACAGTGGCGGATCAGGTCGTCCATGCTGCTCATAAGCAGCCCGATGGTTTCGCAGCCAGGCTCCTTGCCCTCGATCCAGGTGATCTTATCGCCACGGATGTCCTTGGATGAGTCGCTCTTCTGGCTGACCAGCTGCCCGTCCGTGAACTTGCCCGTGTCGTGCAGGGCTCGCACCTCCTCGCCGATTTGCTGACCAGTCTCCTTGCCCAGGAAGTCGTCCACCACACAGATGCCGTGCTTGTTCATGCACGGCACGATGTACTCCAGTGCCAGCTTCAGCGCCGGCAGCGGCTTCGTTTGCCCGTTGGGCCGCAGGCTGCCGCCGTGGCTCAGCCCCTCACCGGGGGTGTTGCTCGGCGGGTACATGTTGGACTTCTCCTGATACAGCTGCGAGCGGGCCAGCAGCTCCTCCTTCCCGGGCTCCGCCTCGGCCGCTGCAGGCCCTTGGCTGCTGGGGGCCGCGTGAGGCGGGCATGCCGCCGCGGGCTCGGGCTTTGCCTTGGCCGGTGTCGTGTCCCCAGAGGCCGGCCGGCCTGGAGCCTCTGTGGCCGTCGCGTCCCGACGCGGCGCTGCCTTCCTGAACTCTTTCGCCCCAGCCCCGCTGGGCTTGGGCGTCTTGGCAGCAGCTGATCGCGCGGAGTTAAGATGCGGATGGTGGGAAGCCGCGGCGTGGCCGTGGGCGCCCCGGGGTTCCGAGGCGCCCTCGCTGCCCTGGCATACAAGCTTGTGCTTTTTCCAGTCCTGGCGCTGGTGCTCCTTGCTGCAGTAGAAGGAGCTGCGGCAGCGGCTGCAGCGCAGCAGGTTCTCCATCTTCCCACAGAGCTCGCAGTACTGCCGGTCTCGCTCGCTCGGGCTCAGCCCGCCAGGCCCACCGCTGTCATTGGCCATGGCGGCTGCCGAACAGGAGCGGGTAGCGGCTAGACGGCCTCGCCCGGGGCCTGGGGAGCGAAGGGGAGAGGCCGTGGCTGCTACTGCGCCATGCACGCGCCCGGCCTTTGCCTCAGGGAGGCGGCCGGCGTCCCTCTCAGCTCTCCGGCCAGGGCCGCTTCCTAGTCTTCTAGTCAGGGCCCCTCAATGCCGGCAGCTGCCGCCTCAGCACTTCATCGCCGCCGACGCCAGCGCCTGGGGAAGTGAGGCCTGGCAGCCGAGGGTTATTGCCTCTGACTGCGCGTGGGCTTAGGCGCGCGAGACCCACCGGCCCTGCCGCCTCTGTGTCCCGGCTGCCCGGCCCAGCCAGTTCAGGAGAGTGCAGGGCGTGCGGGCGCCACTCGCTCTGTGCGCTTTGCACGTACACCACGACCCTGCCGCGACCCGGGCGGGCGGGCGTGCGAAGGGCGGGGGAGCGGAGGGAGGGACGAAGGAAGGATAAGGCGAGGGGGCGGGCGCGACCGCGCGCACACGTTCGGCCGGTGGGGCGGTGGCTCTGGCAGTTCTTACAGCCGCCTCCACTCGCCTGCGGACCCCGCCCTGGCGGTCTGCAGGACGCCCGGAGGCTCGCGCGCCTGGATAGTTTGCCTTGGCCAGCGGGGGGGGGGGGGGGGGGGGTTGCCGAAGGGCAGCCCGCGAGTATTGGAAAAGTGGGACCACAAGTCTGCAGCCGAGTCCAACCCTGAGACCCAGACATTGCCAACACCTGCTGGAAAATTGTTGCCGAGCAGGACCGAACAGTAATAATTGCTGCTGTTTGTTTTTTTGCTTGTTTGTTTAGGCCTACTGTTTATGTTCTAGGCACGTTCTACACAAAGTTGCAAGATGGCTCTTAAAATTCTCGTCTCTCGTATGAGGAAACGGAAATTCAGAAAAGTAAAGTAACTTGCCCAAGGTCACGCAGAGCTGGGACTGAATCCAGGCATTGGACTCTGTCAGATTCCAAGGCTGTTTTTTCTATCACACCATACAAGCTCTTTTTGAAAAGGCCTGAAGTGGTTAAAAACAAAATTAAGTGTTACTGGGATTGAAAACTGGTTACAGCAGTATATTCACAGGGAACTTCCAGAAATACAAGCTGGATTCAGTTTTGTAAGTGTATTTTACTTTGGATACCGCTATATTTGGGTTGGTTTCTGGGTTATGTTGTCATATGTGTTAATCACGTGTTGGTACTCTGTCCAAAGGACTCCCTTTAACATCTCTTGTAAGGTCAGTCTGGTTTTTACAAAGCCTCTTAATTTTTTAGAACATTCATTTGGAAATGTCCTAATTTTGTCATCACATTTGAGGGGTCAGTTTGCTAGGTATATAATTCTTGGCTGGCATCCCCCCCCCCCCCCCCGTCAGGGTTTAATAAGTGTCATGCCATTGCTTTCTTGCTTGCATGATTTCCTCTGAGAAATCAGAGCTTAGTCTTATTGGTTGCTCTTTGGAGACAATTACTCATTTTTCCTGAGCTGTTTTCATGAGTTTTTCTTTGTCTTTAGTTTTGGAAAGTTTGATTATGATAGGTCTTGGTGATTTTCTTCTGGCATCTATCCTGTTTGGGGTTCCTTAAACTTCCTGAATGCATTTTGCTTGTCTTCTTGTCTTGTTAGGGAAGTTCACTTCCAACTTAACAATTTTCTCTTTGGTTTTATTTGTCTTTTCCTGTTTGGGGATTCCATTCACACACAAGTTACTCCTCTTGATGGCGTCTGTCTTAGGATGTATTCTCTAGAGAAGCAAAGCCTGTGAAGCTTATATATATAACCAAACCTACTGCCATCAAGTTGATATTGACTCATAGTGACCCCCACTAGGTTTCCAAGGCAGTAAATCTTTATGGAAATTGATTGCCCCATCTTTCTTTCACAGAGTGGCTGGTGGGTTTGAACCACCAACCTTCTGGTTGGCAGTCAAGTGCCTTAGGCACTGTGCCATTAGATAGATAGATATATATTTCTATCTGATGGCATAGTGCCTCTCTCTCTCTCTCTCTCTCTCTCTCTCTCTCTCTCTCTCTCTCTATATATATATATATAAAGAGAGAGAGAGGGAGAGAGAGAAATTTATCTCAAGGAAATGGCTCAGTAGTTGTAGAGGATAGCTAGTCCCAAGTGTCAAATGTCAAGTTGGAGGCTTCTGGCTCATGCATCTGTAAGGGGTGATGAACTCAAGATTGGAAGGCAATACAAAAGGCTGCTGGCTTTGGAGGCTGAGAAATCCAAGATCAGTAGATAAAATGTCGGGCTGTTGGTTCATAGGCTGCAAAGTCAGCAGTCCCAGGACCAACAGGCAATACTGCATGCCACTGATTCAAGTCTTGATGATTCTAAACCAGATACAGGATCCAAAGCTAAAAGCTAGAGAACTTTCCCAGAGCTTTTACATATATATTGGAAGCAGGCCATACTCTGAAGTAAACTCCCTTTCAACTATTGACTGCTCATAGCAGATCTCATCATGGAAGTGATTACATTATAACAGATGTCATCATGCGGTATAACTACATCATAACTGCTAAACTACTTCGAATCATTGCCCAGTCAAGTTGACACATAACCTTAACTGTCATAGTGTTTCATGTAAATCTTATTTTTCTTCATTCTTTTTTTCTGATTGTTCCCTTAACAAAGTAGTACTGAAAGATTTGTTTTCAGTCTTGGTAAATCTGTCTTCCATTGATTCAATTCTACTCCTTTGCCCTTTCAATGTGTTACCTGTTTCTGAAAGCTTAGTATTTACCTGATGGATTTCTATTTGCTGTTTTTCTAGGGTTTCTAATTTTTCATTTATTTTGTCAATTGATTCTTGTATTGTTTTCTTGAATTCTTCCAGAGTTTTGTCTTTGTTTCTCTTAAATGAGTCAGTGTTTTTCTTGATCTGTTTCTTAATCTGTTGTAAGTATCTAAATACAATTTTTTAAAATTCCTTATCAGGTAGTTCCAGTGCTACTTCATCCTCCAGAAGGTTTGCTAACTCTGTATTTTGGTCTCTGATTTATACTACATTATCTTGCTTCTTTGTGTGAACTAGGTTTGTCAGTTGTCTCTGAGACATTGTGATGTTGTTGTACTTGTATTTAATTGGTGATTGGTGACTGTGCGTTGGTGTGATTCACCTAGGCTTTTGTTTGTTTGTTTTGTTTTATTTGTTTTGATATATTCAAGCTAACTGGGCTGCTGTGCTACTCTCTTCACTAGTTAGATGGCTGAGAGGAGGGCACCTTATCCCAGAACTAGTTCCTGCCTACCCACCAGGCAACTGAGGGCAGCACTTAGGCACTCACCATCTGTCTCCTGGTGGATGTGATAGAGGATGAGAATGTGTGCACAGATCTCTGCTTGCTGTTCATGAAGAGCTGTTGGAGTGGTTTGGTTGGCATTGGCCACCATCTATGATTGCTTAGTTGGTGTAGAAGTAGGTGGTAGCCCTTGCCATGTGGGTTGGGCTGCAGGAGGTATGGATGTGGTTGGGTCATGTAGACACATTTGCTGTCTCCTGCTGGTGTGACAATAAATAAATAGAATAATACCAAGAGAATAAAAAACACAAACAGCACAAACAAACAACCACCACAAAAAGAAAAGGAAGGGGAGGGGAAGAGAAGGACAAAGAGAAAAAGAAAAAAACAAAATGGAGAGTGGGGGTAAGAAAAAAGAGCATGAGAAAGATAACATGAAAAAATAATTAAGAAAATGCTAGTTCAAGGGACTGGTAGACCATGCGATCCTCAGCCTGTATGACCATGAGACCAGAAGAACTAGGTGGTACCCAGATACCACTGTCAAGCACTCAGAGGGAGATCTATGTCGAGATACTAGATAGAGTGGGAGAAAAATGTGGAGTAAAACTCAAAATCATTTAAAAAAAAGACTAGTTTTGCGGGTCTGATAGAAGCTGGTGAACCCCTGAGACTATGGACCCTAGCTACCCTTCAGGTCTGGAATTGAACTCACTACTGTGGCCTCCAGCCAAATAATAGGCAGGCATATGGGCTGAACATTTACATCAGGTAGAAACACTCCTTGCAGAGTTCAATCATGGGAGAACAGAAGGGCAGTGTATGGACAGGAAGACAGCTTGGGGTGAAGGAATGCATGGATGGGAAGGACATAGGGAAGAGGTAACTAAGGGGAGGAAGTGGGAAGAGAGCTGTTACATTGTGGGGAATTGCAGTCAATGTCATGAGACAAAATGTGTATGAACTGCTGTATGGAAAATGAATTTGCTCTGCAAACTTTTACCCAAATCACAATAAATATCTTAAAAATAAATAAAATAAACCAAGGGGGTAGGAAATGGGAAAAATGAAACAAAAGAAAACTGGGAAAAGAGAAAAGCAAAAGAAAAGAACAAGGAAAGGGAAAGAATAATAATAATAAAGAAAAACCAAACTCACTGCCATCAAGTCAGATCCGACTCATAGCAACCCCTTCTTGGGTTTCTGAGGTGCTATCATTACAAAAGTAGATTGCCCATCCTTAAAAATAAAGAAAGGAGAAAAAGAATACTATATATTAAAAAAAGAGAAAACTGTGTCAGGGTAGCTGAGTAATATTCCTGTTGGCTGAGTAGGTGATGGGGAGCAGGGCACTTGATGATTCCTAAAGGAGTTCCCAGCCTAAAGGCAGCTGGGGGCAGGGTATCTGGTCCTAGAAGGAGTTCCTCCTGTCCCAAAAGGTGGTGATGCATAGGTACTTGGTCTCCAAAACAGTTACTGCCATCCCAAAATGCAGCTGGGTATAAAGTACCTGGTCCCAGAACAAGTTCCTGCCAACCCAAAAAGTGGGAGGGAGTGGGGCTCATGGTCCTGTTAGTAGTTCCTGCCTACCCAGAAGGCAAATGCAGGTAGGGCCCCTAATCTCAGATGTGTTCCTGCTGGCCCAGAACATGTCTGGTGGTAGGGCCCTGGACCTGGAAAAATGTCCTTCCAGTCCAAAGGGCACCTGGGAGCAAGGTGGCTGGTTCCAGAA